GCAAATATTTATGCAAATTATGTGTTTTTTGCATCACATATGATAGATAGGAATATTGTAATAGTTATGTATTTAAATGCTCATAAAATCAATAATATTCTCCCATTTCTTGCATCTAATTTATACTGTTATTAATTTTCTATCAAATTTATGGGAAAACTATTTTCATTCGGCTTTCAAAGTCTCGATATATTTTTTGTTGCATTTAATAAAAACACATGGCTTTCAATGCTATTATTGAATAAATAATTACTAATTAAATTGCATCCAATTCTTTGATATTTATACTCAAAATATACAGTATGTTAGCAAAATATAGACCAATAAATTTTACCATATCTAATAAATCGATAATAAACGCCACCAAATCTTATTTCCAAATTAAGGTCACTTTTCTCTGTTATCAACTTATCAGCAATCGGTAACTTTGCGGTCAATACACAAACTGCAAAGAATAGTATACTATTGATCCAAAAGACCCAATAACTGCACCCAAACTCCGGTCGTATCAAATGTTCACCAAAAAAATTTAATTCAATTTAAAGCGATTAAATCGATAAGAATTTCTGAAGAACTGGTAATCTTAGACACACTCCTGAATATTCTGTACAAAAATCCAATTTTCATGTTTTGTAACTATTTGTAAGCGTTTGTATGTATTGTTGGATAATATGTTTGCAATTTCTGCTGATGTCTTCATACGAGTTGTTCACCATTTTATAAATAATCAAAGCATCGGATTTTAACTGTAGTAACTATTTTAGCCGTTAATAGCATAAGCCTAAGAATTGGTATGTTCGTCGATCATTAGGGTCGTTCTAGCAATTTTTTATTTGAACTATAAATAACCATTTGAAATATAACTAGCTATTTGAATGATAAACAACTATTAACCATGTATTTTGACCAATATTTGTAAGAATGGCCTAATTTATGCTAAAATGTGCTAAAATAGATATAAAAATTGCTCAATAATTGTAACCAACTCATTTATTTTAATAAATGTTGTATTAATTCTAATAAAATCAAAAACAAAGTAATTTGATTAATAAATAATCTAACAATTTGGAAAACAGTTCCCATCGCTTACGGAAAGACAGCTCTTAAGTACATCAAAGGCGATGCAAATATGGTTTCATTTGCCTCTGACCTCAAAGTTACCATTTTTGGCAGAACTGAAGACCGAAAGCTTTTAGACAATTCCCATCGCTTACGGAAAGACAGCTCTTAAGTACATCAAAGGCGATGCAAATATGGTTTCATTTGCCTCTGACCTCAAAGTTACCATTTTTGGCAGAACTGAAGACCGAAAGCTTTTAGACATTGAGGTAATTATAAGTCTTTCTATTAATTATATAATTAATTAATTTGTAAATTGTATTGATTTATAGGTTGAGGGAAAGCGAGGATTCGCTCCGATATCTCATATAAGAGAAGAACTAATTTTGATTAAAGATCCTAATATTGTGGTCAAAATCAACGATACGGTTAAGACCAATGAGTCAAACAATGGTCTAAACAATGNATTGTATTGATTTATAGGTTGAGGGAAAGCGAGGATTCGCTCCGATATCTCATATAAGAGAAGAACTAATTTTGATTAAAGATCCTAATATTGTGGTCAAAATCAACGATACGGTTAAGACCAATGAGTCAAACAATGGTCTAAACAATGAAAATGCAGATTTGGAAGAGAAGAAAAGTGCCATCGATTTGAGTACACAATCTTCGCCCATATATTCTTCATTGAGTGAAGAATCGTCTGAATTGCAAACAAAGACACCGACACGAGACCAGTACACTGTTGTCGACGGCACCTCTTTGATGGTTGAAGATATGGACATGTATTTGGTAACGTCTCCCGTTATACACACCCAACCCATGACTGCCACCAAATCGGCTACAATTGAACTTAATTTAGACAATATTACAGAAGTTAAACCAAACAATGACTTTAACAGTAATACAGACAATCAATTGGTGACCAATCAATCGGACAATACATTGCAATCAATGGATAAATTAAATCCTTCAACAATTTCTGCTCCAAATGAAGACAAAAGTATTATTGAAAATGAGACAAAAGATGTCACGAATGAGAGACAAAATGATGACATCGCAGATGATGTCGAAATAGTGGATAATAGTAGTAAAAGTGAAGTGAAATCAGTTGATAATGTTATTGAAAATGATAACAAATCCATTTTACAAGACATTGAACCGATTCTTAATGATAGCTCTAAGCCTGACGCCGACTCATCCAATATTCCTCACGATTCCAACGATAATAAGTTATCAGAAACTGATATCTCCGATGAAAGTTCTAATACTAATAGCACTGCCATTAAAGTCGATTCAAAACCAAACGACACTTTAGAAACTGGAAGTGATTTACCAATAAATAAAACTATTGATACTTCAGATAAGACTAACGATACAGAGAATAAAGTTATTGATGTTTCGGAGGAAAACAGCGATGAATTGAATGTCAAAACCTCGAATATAACTGACGATAAGTTGAATAAAACAGATAAAACCAATGATGAGATCAATAGTGATTTGAATAAATTGCCCGAAGACTCGAATAAAACAATTAATTTCTTGAATACAACTAATGTTGAGTCGAATAAAACAATTGAAAGCAATGTTGAGATCAATAGTGATTTGAAAACATTAACCGAAGACTCGAATAAAACAAGTGAAAGCAATGATGAAATCAATAGTGAATTAAATAAATTAACCGATGAATTGAATAAAACAAGTAATTCCTTGAATACAACTAATGTTGAGTTGAATAAAACAAGTGAAAGCAATGATGAAATTAATAGTGATATGAATAAATCGAAAGACGATTCCAATAAAATTGATGAAGAATTAACTAAAAGCGAAGACAATTCAGCGAATATTAGCCCAGAAGCACAAGAATCTGACACAGAAGTAGAGCAACCAAATGATGTAATCGACAAAACAGATAAACCGTTGGAGAATATGACTGAAAACTTGAGAATCGATACCAATCCAGAAGAGCCTAAAGAAAACTTAAAGGAAAGTTTTGTTGATTCAGAAAAGACTGAAAAAGTTAGTGAAGATTCTGAGGAAACTAATAAAGAATTGAATAAAACTAATGGAGAATTGAAAGATACTATT